GGTCTGCAACAATCTCTAGTTAAGTTGTATGTGTAAAAGTAACATCCACATAAACGACATTTGCAGGCCTGCACTTTTCCATAGTGTCTCCTGCCGCCATCTCATATCTAGATAAACAACGCACATGCACCCAGCCATTACTCTATTAAAAAAACATTCATCAGACCAGGAAAGCTTCTATTGCTCCATGGTCCAGTTCGAATGCTTTGGCAACACTCCACCCCCTTGGCTGAGATCAAACTTTATGAGCTTAGTCAATCTAATGCTTTCATATAGAATGGCATGTTATTCACCCTCTCCCCCTCCCATATATCTTACAAGCACTAGGTTTCAGCTAGTCACAAAAATCCATATCCTCTATTAAGGACAAGCCTGTTTTAACTAAAGAACCTATCCAAGCACCATAACAATTACAGCACGTTGTAGTGGTTATGGTGCCAGGAGTGACCTGGATCTCCCAACATTATAAAAAGTCAAATTGCTTTGGTACATTTTGACACTTGTGTTTGTGAATGCAAGCATACACTAAGCCAGGGGAGAGGGGGGCATGTAAGTCAGCGCAGTAGCTTTGACCCGTGCTGGATTCCAGGTAAATAAAAAGATTGTTTATTTACAAGGGGACGATGACCTAAATAATAGTGCCCAGTAGAACATATACAGAAAAGGTGCCCACCCACTAAGGGTTGGGGTAACCCTTTAAAGATATTACAGCATGTATTTATGGGTGGAAAAATCTTTGTTTCAAATTATGATTTTTTTCTAGCCTAATCATATAATGAGCATGCAAACATTAAATACTTGTGTACGGGTTACCATGGTAAAGAAGTCAAACCAGCTGAATATTTACAAAGTACTAAACACTTCATTATAATCCTATAATCAAGTCATAATATAGAAGTGCTACAATCTAAGTGGTGGAATTGTAATTTTGGGGTCATGTAACCATAAAGATTACCAAGTGTCGCTAAATATAAAATGTTCCATAAAGTTGTTGTTTTTTTAATGCAACTCAACAATATTCAGTACCCAAACATGCAAAATTTATT